AAAGAACTTAAAGCATTTTTTTGATGATTTAGAAATGAATCTCCCCAAGGCTGTAATTCTTCCTGTCAACCTCTGCACTTCTTTTCTACTTGTAAGCATGTCAGGAATTTCTTCAACGGCCTTAATCTGTGTGGGATTCACTTCAATACCACGGTTAGAAACAAGAAAACCTAAAAACTTACCTGATGCAACACCGAATGCACATTTCTCAGGATTTAATTTCATGTTAAATTTTCGCAAAATCTAAAACGTATCAGACAGGTGTGATATATGATCTCCTGAATGTTGAGTTTTAACGAGCATATCGTCTATATAAACTTCCATGGTTTTTCCCAAATGTTCTTGAAACATTTTGGTCACCAGTCTTTGATATGTTGCGCCAACGTTTTAAAGACCAAAGGGCATTACTTTATAATAGTAAGTCTCCATGTCTGTTATAAATGAAGTTTTTTCTTCATCCACAGGATCCATTTTGATCTGATTATATCCTGAATACGCATCTAAAAAGCTTAACAACTTATGTCCTGCAGTAGCATCAATTAGTTAATCTATATGTGGTAATGGGAAAGAATCTTTAGGACAAGCTTTGTTAAGTCTGTGTAATCCACACAAACTCGCCACTTACCATTCTTCTTCGGTACCACAACAGTATTGGCTAACCAATTAGGATACTTTACCTCACGGATAGATCCAATCTTTAATAATTTTTGAACCTCATCTTGAATCACCTAATTTTTGAAAGTTCCTTGCTTTCTCTTCTTTTGTTTGACAAGGGGATATGATGGGTCTTCATTTAATTTGTGAGTCATTACCTCCGGTAGTATTTCTGTCATATCAGAGTGGGACCAAGCAAAACAATCTACGTTAGTTTTTAAAAATTCAATCAACTTACCTTTCATGTCTTGGATTAGATTGGCCCCTACGTAGATTTTCCTTTCAGGCCATTGTGCAAATAATATTACAGCTTCCAGCTCTTCAATCGTTGTTTTGATATTTTCATTTTCTTCTGGTTCTTGAATGGCATCTGGCCTTGAATCCATGTCTGTTCGTCCTTGTTCAGTTGAGGTTTGTGTTGTGATACCATCAACTGGATTCTGTAATTTCTATTTTTCATCGTTTTTCGTACGTGAATCTGCTACAGAATTGATGCTTCTGGATGTATGTTGATCCCCACGGATTTGACATATTCTCCATGGTGATGGAAATTTAATAACTTGGTGCAAGGTTGACGGAACGACATCCATCTCGTGGATCCATGGTCTCCCAATGATCATATTGTAAGCCATCTCCATATCTACCACCTGAAATTTTGCATCATTGACAACTCCTTCTGCGAATGTTGTAAGTATTACTTCCCCTTTCGTCACTACGCTGGAATTGTCAAATCTAGACAGAGTATGCACCTTTGGTATTAATTTATCTTTGGTTTGCATCTCATGTAGTACTCTTAGCAAAATAATGTTCACGGAACTACTTGGATCAATCAAAACTCGTTTCACATTAGTATCATGTATAAGTAAAGATATTACTAGTGCATCGTTATATGGGATAATACGCCATCCGCGTCTGCATCATCAAACGTAATGCTTTCTTCCTCTAAGACATGTCGCACCCGCTTCCCGTGGGTAATTGTGACTTTGGAGACTTTATTTGTTGTTGTGTACGCCACACCATTGATGTCTTCTCCTCCACTTATCACATTAACGGTCCTTTTGGGAGAAGGTGATTTTGGGGGCTCCTGCCTATTCTTCATATATGCTTGCTTATGTCTTTCACTGAATAATTCAGTGAGATATCCTTGCTTTAATAGATGATCAACTTCACCTAGCAGCAACCTACAGAGGATCACTGAATCATTCCACGTTGTTGCTGGGAATTCACGAAGACTTTCCTTGAGTCGCCTCGTGGCTTCAGAGCTTTTTTCATTCAAATTACTAGTGAAGGCTATAGTTGCCCAATTGTCAGGTACGTGCGGTAACGTCATTCTTTCACGCTGGAACCTATCCACGAACTCCCTAAGCAATTCTGAGTCCCCTTGCTTGATTTTGAAAATATCTTCCATTTTTTTTTTGACTTTTTGAGCTCCCGAGTGTGCTTTGATAAATGAATCTGCAAGCTCAGCAAAAAATTTATGAAATTTTCAGGTAAAAGAGAATACCATGTTAATGCTCACTTAGTAGTGTTTCACCGAATTTTTTGACCAATACTGATTCAATTTCTTGTTTGGTCAAGTCGTTGCCTTTTACGCATGTTGTGAATGCAGTCACATGGTCTCGTGGATTAGTTGTTCCATTATATTTTGGAATATCGGGCATTTTGAATTTCTTTGGAATTGGGAGGGGAGCAGCACTTGGCTTCCAAGGTTGTTGTGAATATTTATCTTTATCTATCCCTTTGATTACGAGCGGTACTCTAGGTATTTGCTCTATGCGGTCACTTTGCTCCTTGAGCTGTTTCTGCAATGTTAGTACTAAATTTTGTAAATCAGAATTGACTAAGTTGCCCGGTTCTCCTTCCCATGACTCGCTGGGGATTCCACCACTACCTGAATTAGCAAGCCCAGAACAAAGGTTCTCCAAAGTGTTATTATTTGGAGTGGGTGTTGGTGGTGCAACGGTAATTGGCTGACAAAGGCCTCAAGAGCTTTATTGACTTGTTGGGCGATTAGCTTTTGCAAAGCTTCATTGATAGCTTCATTATTTTCGAATTGAGCATTTCCATTTGCATGAGATTTATCAGGAGTGCCTTCTCGAGATCGTCGAGGGGAGCTTTGTGGAGAAGGGATTGGGATGTGGTCATCCTGTGGATTCTCCTGGAGTTGTTGGTTTCCTTGGGTGTTGTCATTGATGTTCGACATAGTTGATGCAACAAAAAAAAGGTTAGGCTAAGAAAGAATAGATTATCAGATTCCCTGTAACGGAACCAATTTGTTTAACCAAAAAGTGAAATTTCGGTTAAAGCATTAATTTAGAAGAACTCGGGTTACTGATAATCAAAGAATGAATAAAGGAAGGTGATTTTGTCAGCAATAAGATAATCAGAAGAAAACAAAGTAAACCAATGTATTCAGATAGTCTTTCGTGTCCTTACAAAATGATCCATTCTCTTCCTTTATAGCTATCTCCAAGTTATACGTTATGCCTTTGTCAAAATAAGGTCATTAGAGACAATTAAAGGCATTAAATGCTACGTTACATAATTATTGTGATTCAATACAGATTCCCCAACATTTTTAGTATTTAATGCTTATTAAATACTGTATCTGTACTCTCTTGTACTGTCAGATTCATTCTCCTTGATTTTTGGATTGAATAGGTACGAGCGTTGAGTCTTCTGAATAACCGCTCATGCCTCTTCATGTGCCTCTGCTCGTATCTGTTGCAACTCGTGCCTCTTTGCTAATCATCATCCGTTGACCAGCATCCATGTCATGACACGTCATCTTTCAATCACTTCAATATGTAAACTCAATTTTTCCCAATACAGCATGTAGGCTCCACAAGCTTCTAAAGGAATGGCGATTTAATGACCTATATTTCTTGCCATATTATAGTGAAATAGGCCTATGGACTAGAATCAGGCTTGGTATGCATCTTTGTCTTCAGTACATGCCTGTTTAGGATCACTCGATACTAGTGTTGTAAAATGAGAGTTCAGTTTACTAATAAAGCAGTTGCTAGTAACTTCAGCTGTGGTTAATGTTGCTCTGTGCATAGAATTCCATGTCCGTCTATGGTTAATTACTTGTAGATATGGTGAAAGATGCCGTTGTTGAAAGCAGTAGTCCCTTGTCCTTATTGTATATCCTATATCAAGTGTTTGATTAAATGTATTTGAGCTTTCAAGAATGAAGCAACTAATTTAAGGGATTTGCTAACTTGACACAGGATTTCTGCTATGAATTATTGGGGTTGCTGGTTCTTTATTATTTGCACTTGAAGCAGTTTGCCGATTTTACTTTCAGTTCAAGTCACCCAGATATAACCAGGATAAAACTGGAGCCAGTGATGGGAACTGAATCTTAGGCTTGCTACCGGAGTTTATCAGAATTATTCTTCTCAGATGGTAAGATGTTTAATGTGTCTTGCTTAGGATGTGATGCTGAAGAATCCCAACTCTATGCTCATTAGCCTGCATAGCACTTAAGTCATGCCTATTTATTTTGCCTATTGGAAGTTATGTCTACTTATTCTTATTTCTGAACTTACCAATTTTTATCCACATACAATTATGCTATGCTCTTTCTTCATTTTTTGTTTATTCACGAATTCTGAGCTGTTTTGGTAATTGCTCCAACTCAATTAAGAGTAGGATGGAAAGTATAAGGGGCTCATCTGATGAAACCATCATTTAGTTTAGTTTGCTCTACTTGATTGGTTTGTAAAGTCTTGATGCATGTGTTTGTGCTTGAGAAACCTCTATATCAATTTGGGAGCCTTATGTTGGATAACAATGGGATTGGGAAGAAAATAAGTGAAATAGTTGAACAAGTAATCTGTCGATTAAGCTAAAGAGAACAACCTTTGTCAGATCTTGGAACCTAGCCAGAGAGAGGGGAAGAAGAAGAGAATGTGCAAGTGAGGGAGAAAGAGGAAGAGGGTTGGATTCAGAAGGACAAGTTCTAGTTTGCATCAAATAAGAGAGTTTGACGAGACAGAGTACAAATGCCTATGGCCGGTAGCAAAACAGGGGACAAATCAACCTCAATCACTTGCTAAATTAACTCCAGTATCATTGCAGAAATGCTTCCCAGTTAGTAACGATGTTCAGGTAACATGTCCTGTGAGTATTCGAAAGTTAAAAAGTTGATCTCTTATGCTTGTGTTCCCTCAAGTCTTCAGCAATAGAATCTGAAGCAATATTAAAAAACTTTTGGAGGATGAAAAGGTGGTTTTTCCTTTTTGCTTCTTTAACAATTTTGGATTAATACACCCTTAGTATTATTAGGTGACACTACACTATTGAGCTACATCTAACCCCAATGAAAGATGAAGGTAGAATTGACGAGGAGACCCCTTAATTTGAGGGTCCCAAAGTTATCTACTTTCTGATAAGACAATAATAATAATGTACTTGCAAAAAGGAAAAACATGGAACAAGATCTTCTGTCGCCTACTCCCCTTGAACCCTACTTTTTTGTTCGCCGTAAACATCTAGAGTTGGATAACCTCCATGTACTGTATCAGAATAGGTAGAAAGACTAGTTGAATGCTCCATAAATTGTTCCAACTTTAGGTTTTGATTTGTTTCTTGAGGAACCATCCAATTAATTGGCTCCGTGTAAGCCAGTCCATTGTTTGGTACAGCATCCTGTGCATAGTTGTCTGTTATATGATAACCAAAGTTTAAACCATGTTCATCACGTGTAGCATCAACACTTCCATTTTGGTGATGCTCGAGCAATGAGTACATCGAGTCTGCATTTCCAGCTAGTTTTAATTCGTTGGAGTATGCCATTTGATTGTCATTCAATAAATGGTTCTCTATATAGTTTAGCACTACATTATCTTGATTATGTCCCGTCAACTCATTTTGTTGATACATAGCTTGATAATTCTGGGTTGGAATACCCCAATTAGCTTGTGGTGTTGTAGAAACGGGCAACATTCCAATAGTTTGATTTCCCATTGCAACATTCACCAAGTTGTTTGGTCCTTGTCGCAAAAGCACCCTCCTTTGGTCGGTATTTGCATAGTTACTTCTCCTTTCACCTGCATTCACAACAATCATCACTAAGGTAAAATGTACAAGATAAACTTTAATGGGTCATAACCCTTCAAAATCAAACTAATGGAAGCAAGCACAAATTTTTTAGTTGAGCTATATATGTCTAGAAACACCCGCCAATGAATATATACTTAGTCAATGAAAAAAATAAGAGTATTTCCCATAAAAGGTATTCGATATATGTTATATATATCTAAAATATAATATTTTACTTATATATGCCGTATAATTTTTCGTAATATTTCAACGAAGGGTGGTCAATTGACCACCCAGAGCAAAAGGTGGCTTCGCCCCTGCTTGAGTGATAAAATTAAACAGTTATATAGAATAATTATCGTGCATACCTGACACTGAAAAGCTTGAACTGAAATTTCTGACAGGTGCCATCGTTGTCCTTCTATTATGCATTGGATGGTTAGGGATTAAAATGGAAGAAGAAGAGAAACGAATAGGATGATGCATCTTGGAAAAAAACTGGGATCCATATCTATTGTCAAAGTAATCCGAAAACTCAGGAACATCTGATTCAAAATAAGGAGATAATTGGCTAGGGAAAGGTTGTTTGCTTAGTTCATTCAGCCTTGCATCATAATGTAATAGCTTCTCATAGTGCTTGTCAAGTACTCCCGGTGGAAATCTAACCCAGTGCCTCCTAAAAAATATAAGTTTAAAAAAATCATTTGAAAGTATTTTATTTTCAAATAGAGAAAAAAAACATAAAATAGAGAAAGTTTAATTTTCTGAAAGGGAAAGTTCACCTGTAAGTGGGAGCTTGGCCTCCAGTAAAATCTGATGTCTGCTGCCACAATGTGTGCTTTCTTGGTTGAGGATTTGTTTCACGATAAAAGGAAGGTGGTTGATTCAACTGTATCAATGGTAAGTATATGTGGCAATAATTAAATCCAAAATTACAATAACATTAATATTTTTAACAAAATTAAGAGAGAAAAGAAACTAACCTCAATCTCGAGAACTCCTGATTGATCATTTTGTAGAATGATGGCTCTAATAGCAATGATATCTGACCATTGCATTTCAATCTTGCTCTTCAGCGGTCCATCTAGAATTTCCCACACTAATTTTCGCTTAGCATAATAACATTTCGCTATCAAATCACCTTCGTACCTTGAAACTCTCTGCCAAATATTTCATTAATTAGTTATTTCAATCATTTACTTATAATGCAATTTTTTAAACTAGTTATGGTTGGTTTATATTAATCATAAATCATTTGTACCCTATGTAGTATTAAATAGGAAAAATGATATTGCATAACCATTCTTAAAATAATAGTCAAAAAATATATATTTTTTTTGTATATTTTATGTATATATACATACGTTTATGTATGTTATATACAAAAAATATACAAATGTTATACACTTTTGCGGCTAACAAATATAAAGTTTCTGCTGCTGCTAAAAGTGAGATTTTCCCTATTAAATATGGACACATTCTAAAATTTTAATGTTACACGGATTATGATTACATTATTTTAATTATGTATGATGTTAACCTAGCGAACAATTTCTTTATCTAGATTTGGATGTGCTATGCGAATAATTGTTTTAGTCAATTATGTTAATAAAAGTTTCATCTTATTCTATGTGGATAGAAACTTTATTTTTGAAATTGATTGCACTAAAGTTTATCATCAGTTGTGAAAAAAATATGAAAACTTAAGGGCCGGTTCTTGTTTTAAAATTATGTGGTAATAAGGTGCTTTTATAGATTGGTGACAAGATGGTATCTATCACCAGGTCCTACATTTTAATTAGGGGTATTATCCTTTTTAACCCGCGTCAAAATTTTTTTACATTTAGTAGCCGAAAAAGTGTATATAATTTGTATAATTTTTTATATAACACACAATATATATATATATATATATATATATATATATATATATATGTATACAAAAAATATACATTCGGTTATTATTTTAAGGGTGGTATACAATGTCATTTTCTTTTTAATTATTGTTGAAATAAAAAATAAGAAGAACTATTACTTCATTTGTCAAAGATCAATGTCTAAAATTTAAGATAAAAGCTAGTAAGTGATACGTATATCATTAAAAAGTTGTATGGTTTCATCAAATAATGATAATAATTACTATTATTTTAATTGTTTAAAATACTTTATGACATGCAAAAGCCCAAACAAGTTTTACCTCCCAATCACCAATCTTGAGCTTTATAGCAGGGAAGTTGGAAGCCTTCAATTTTTCAGAAACAGCAGCAAAATCCTCCATCTTTGACCTATTTTTATTAGCATTTTTCGAAGAATTCATTTGATTTCCATTGCGAGAAGAAGCTGCTGGTCTTCCTAATTGGCGTGGAGGACTGCTAGAAGAACTTCCTTTCTTTCCTTCTGAAAGTTGCGTTTCTATTAAGTTCAAAAAAGATGGTGTCTCTTTAGTGTCAGACCAAGAAGGTTTGCCTCATTCACTAAATTCATTTCTCCATCCTGCAAAAATTCAATAATTAATTAATGTGTGGTTATGAAAGAAGAAACAAGAATATTTACTAACAAATTGTTTTCATTTTTTATAAATCAAATAATGGTTGGTTTGTTTTTTATTGATTAGTGACTTGATTTACTTTGTTTTTACTAGCTAATGAGATGTTCATATCTATTTCTGAACTATAGATACAAAAAACGAAAATAAATGGAGTGGAAACGAACAAATACTCTGCCAAGGATGGAAACAAAACACAATCTAACATGAAAGAGAAAGAAAGAAAAAACAAGATTAAATAAAATTGAACAAATGTGGATTCGAAGTGAATGAGGGGTCAAGGTGTGCCGACCTATAAAACATGTGCTGAAAGGACACATATAAAAACTAAAAAAACACATGCAGATATATAAAATAGAAAAAAAAGAAAAAGAAAAAGCAACCATGCATATTGCAACTTAGAATTAAAACCTTTACACATAAGCCAACCAACCTCTGAATTAGATTCTGGTGACGGCTTGAACCTTTTGGGGCGACCATCTTCATCAGAATCTGAGCTCATACTTCGACTTTTTAGCCTAAGGCTGGTGTTCAGATAGCCAACGCGATCATCATGATCGTTAACTTGCGGGTTTATAGATTCAAAGTTTTGATGAAGCCGTTGCTTAGAAACAGAAGTAGCATATAAGCCCCCATGAACAGCCTTTCTATCTCGGGGTACCATGCTGCTGTGTAGAGAATTCCCAAAAAGAAAAAAAAATCAAAAGAAAGAAAAAAAGGAACGATTCTGAGCTTTTCTGATAAGAGAATATGTAGTTGAAAGGAAGAAATAGCGAAGAAGAAAAGGAGGGAGGGAGGGAGGAGGATGCACAGTGAAAAGGGTCAGTTGTTTATATTGAGAAGAAGCCAATAGTATAGTGATTGTGGATATAAAGGACTCTGTCTGACTGTGTGAAGTCTTTAATTTTTGTAGGGATTTTTTCTATTGGCGGTAAATATATATATATATAAAAAAAAAGTCAAATTCCATTTAGAGGTTTTTTCTTTTTCTGAAAAATGTGGTAAATCTGCTTTTACCCCTCTTTTCCATTTTTGTCTAACAGTTAAAGATGCATGTATTACTTTTTAGTGGAATATAAATTGTTTAATTGTATATCGGATTTATCAGCTAAATCTTCTATCAGATTACATTAACAAATCGCAATAAAAATCACAAGTCTTGCATTTTATGTGTGAAAGAGTTTTGTCTTTATTAGAATGTAGATGGCTAAAAAAAGTAAAGGAGCACTAATTATTACTACTTCATTTATTTGGTCCTCGAAAAAAATCATTGGTCTAAACTTTCATTTATAGGTCAATTCTATTTTGTTAGTTAAGTAAATTCGAATTCAACTTGATTAATCGAGGATGCTCTAGCAACTAGGAGTAGTACTATATAGTATATATTAGTAATAGTGAGAATTGTGTACTTTTTTTTTTTTTTTTTTTTTTTTTTTTTTTTGTGTGGAGTATAGATCTATAACATATTTGTTTAATGTTTATTGGATGATTCCGGTTTTAGTAAACATAATACTTCAATTATTATTTTCATGTTATTTTTGTTGCTTAAGATGCGGTTTATAGACCGATTACTCTTGATCTTAAATTGCGTCGACTTATAATATAATGGTGAAAAACAATAATATTGCCTTTCGTGGGAATTAAACATGTTGCATAATAACAAACACTCTAACTTTTCGATCTAAAACGAGTAGACACATTAGTGACTTGCCAATTTATTTTAGTTTTGACGTCAACTTATAATGGCGAAAACAACAAAATTTTCTTGCTTGTAGGAATTAAATACGCTACATAAGTAAAAGCTTTCTGACTTTTGCGCTAAAACAAATAAACACGTGAATGACGACTTACCAATTTATTTAAGAACAAAAAGAATATTACACATAATCTGAACTCATACTTCGGCTTTGTAGTCGGAGGTTGGTGTCTAGATAATCAGCGCATTCGGTATTATGATCGTTAATAATTTATTAGTTGATTCTTACCAAAAAGTTATTTTTATGACCTTCAACAATTTTCTTTTAAGCGTTTCTCTGGATTTTGGTAATACTTATGGCTTTTGTAATCAATGGGTTAAGAGGCAAAATTATTACTTGGGTGGTGAGACTATCGTTTTAATTGGGAAGATGCATTTTTTGCATGTTTTACATTTATTATTAGTCTCATACACCGATAAATGCTTATTATACGCGGTAGCAGACTATAGAACATGTTATTCTTTAAAATTTGTTTTAAATACTTAACCAGTACTTATAACCAGTGGCGGAGCCACATTGAACCAAGGGGTGTCAAGCGACACCCCTTCGTCGGAAAATTACACTATATTGCTAGATAATTCTTTTTTTATGTATATTTACTATACGTTGACTCCCCTTGACTTTTCGATGTATCTAATTATTTATATTTTGACACCTCTTGATCAAAATTCTAACTCCCCCACTGCTTATAACTTAGAATCTGACAAAGACTTAACAAATTATTAAATACACATAATGGCTAAACAATTAATTAAATTGTGAAAACTTTGGCNTTGTTATTCATTAACAAAATATAAATTGAAAATTTTCACTTAGACACTACACAAATTACTTTTTTCTTTTTCTTTTTTGTTATTGAACCATTTGAATAAGTACGTTCAAACAAGTTTCTTCATTTATTAGCGGAGGTGGACCCCAATTACAATAATCTAAAATTTTAAATTTTGGACCCTCCACTCCTCTGCTTAGAAGGATATATAAATACGTCAAACACAAATATAAGTTATGTAACACTGAAAATTTACATATTCGTTTATATTATCATTTATCAGTATAGTTTAATTAATATGTGAAGCGTGTCATTTGAAAATTATTTTACCAAATTACCAATTAATACTTATCATAAAATTTCTTTGTAATTACTTTATAATTATTTGTCAAGAATTTTTTTACGATGAGCACATTAAACTCAAATCCATAAAATATTAGGAATATAAAAAAAAGAGTGATGCAAATAAACTATGTAAAGAAGCATCAATCTTTGCACGTGGGATTTTTTTTTTTTTTTTAAATAAAGAATTTCAGAAACTGGCTGCAAAATCTCCCTTAAGTAGATAACGTTGAAAGTTACAAAGGAATTGGGCCATACGTAATCTGTCCTCTACACATCGGAAAAAAGAATGTGCAAGAAGTGGAAGAATGTGGAAATGCATGCGCAACTACTCTCCTTCAGACGCCAATGCTAAACATCTGCACATTTACATGGCTTAAAATAAGAAAGGCCCTCTTTCTATTCTTATTATATGCAAATGTGACTAAAAGACCAATCATTACTTTTATGATAGTAGCAACACTATGTGATATTATCAAAAATCTAAGTGAAAGTGATGGCAATAGGGGTTTTGAACAAAAGTGGCATTCTTATCTTTTGTTTGTGGAAGAGTGACATTGACGATATTGGCCTCTTGTAAGGGACATGGCCATCAAATTGCGTGAGCCGAAGTCTCTTGAAAACCGACTCTCTACCTAGCTACATAAAGTAAGGGTAAGATTTGCGTACATGTTATTCTCTCCAAACTCCCATATAGAAAAATATTAGGTATGTTGTTGTTTGGACATGGTCATCGCCT